GATCTGTTCTTGTTGTTCCCGCAGAATGAGGACTCCTCCACTCACGAGAAACTGGAGTTCAAACTGCACTTTACCTGCACCTCCTACCTAATCACTACTCCCTGCTACAGGTTAGTTTGTTAAGTGTCACACAGAATTACAACCAACATTATAAAGGAGGAAAGACTTCATTCTGACCATTTTTTGCATTCTTCATAGACTCCTTAAACCCGTCTTTAAAATAAACTTGAAGGGTTTGCAGTTTTGCTTCAGGACAGTGCTTGTTGAGAGCCTTAAATGCAAAACATTTGAAATGTATGATTGACTGTGACACTAGAGGAAACGTCAGTCGGTGGTCAACCACAATTTATCATCTGAAGATAATAAAAAAAATGCCACAACTATAATAGAAATCTGGGTATTGGTTCCTGAGTTGTCTTGGCTCTTCCTCAAGTATGAATTGAATACTGAATTCATTTTGTTTTGTTTGTCCAGTGATGCGTTCGCTAAGCTGCTTGAGTCGGGCGACCTGAAGTGCAGCTCCGTCAAACTGGAAGGAATCAGCATGCCCTTCCACCACCTCTTGGCCAGGATCTGCTTCCATCACCATTTCTCTGGTATGTACACACGCACACACACACACGCACACACACACACACACATACACACACTCACACCCACACCAGGACATATCATATTTATCTAGAGATATAGACAGTTGTCTTTATACACCGAGGTACCAGACTTGAATTGTACACATACAGAATATAAAAAGTTTTTTGCATGCATTTTTGTGGTGGTTTTGATTAATGGAAGACTATTAATCTCATTATTGCTATTTTTAACTAATCAGTATCGACCAAATAAGCAAACGTAGACAATGCCAACAATATTAGTCTTAAATAAATAGTAATTTCATGTCCATTTATTTGGTGACTCTATTATAATTAGTTAGTTTGGGTATTTTTCAGATGTAAAAAAAACAACAATGTAGCCACTATATTTCTACCATCGGCTGCCATGCTCTCCAAAATTCAGCATGGAGAATGAATCCTGTCTGTAAACCACTAGTTTGGTTTATGTGGTAAACCGTGTATATAACAAGAAACACTAAGAATATTCAGATCGCATTGTGACTGCATGCAGAGTGTGTCTGACCCGTTTCTGTCTGCTTGGTTCAGTTGTGGAGAGGATCGACTCCTGTGCCTCCATGTACAGCAGATCTATCCAGGGTCACCACGTCTGTCTGCTGGTCAAAACTGTGAGTGAACCAAAGAACCTTTTATCCTCTGCAAATTCTGATTTTCATAACCTATTATTTTGGTTTCCTTTTAAAGTAAACTTAGATTGTGAGCTTGATTCTCTCTCTCCTCCCAGTCTGAGCAGACGGTGTCCATTGACGCTAAATGTGACGAGCCGACGCTGCTCGGGAATGTGCTGGATGAGATCAAGCAGACCTTCTCTCAGTGCTGATTGTGTCCGACAGCCCCAGGGTGCCCCCCCGACCTCTCCATGCCACCCCCCCCCCTCGCTGCAACACAACATAATCATGTTACGAAACACTGCGTCTGGCACTTCCAGTATCGCCCTATTTATTAGTCCTCAGATTCGCAAGATTTCTATCCCCTTACCTCCTTCTTTTCACACACTGTTGTTGCGCTGAGCTCTGTGGTCACTCCCCAACATTCGATTGTTGTTTTACAGACTCACTGTGTAAATGCGCCGTCTTCTCTGCAACGCACTTTCATCTTTACTTCCTGGTTCCCTCTGACTGTAATGAGCTCCTTTTTCTGGATGCCCTGTGTCCTCTGCTCCTTCCTGTGTTCCTACACTCTGTCGGCAATTCACTCTGTGACAGTCATGTAATGTAACGTTGAGAACTGGACTTTTGCTGTTGATGGTTGAAATGTGATTTTACTGTTTTGGAGTTCTTTTTTTTGTCTTTTGGTTTGTTTGTTTTTTTGTCTCTTTTTATTTGTCTGAAACCTGTCTGCGCCTTTGTCTCGCCCCTTTTCTCTCTGCCCTCTCCACATCAGTGTTTGTGCTGCTCAGCTTTGTAGACCATGTGACGGACGTTTCTCAAACTGGAAAATGGGGACTCTAACCTCCTCACAGTAGTGGGGAGATGTAACCAAAGCTACATATAAGACATGGATTTTAAACTTCTTTCAGAGCCGTTGCCCTACTTGCCTTTTGGCAAGGCTCAGAGCAGATCTGCTGGTGTTAGTTCAACTCAATCCTTGTGATTAGTACAGTAGATGAGTGGTTTTGCTCTGTGCCTTAGCTGTGCAGTCTGACCTACTAGAGCCCCCCCTCTCTACCCAGTTGATCTGCTCCCTAACCAACTGTGCTAAGCTGCAGTTTGACCCCCTAAGAACTTCCAACATATCATTCCTCTCTAAAATCAAAGATTAATTTGAAGGTATCAAAATAATTACATTTAACCCCAGAGTAGAAGTGTGCAGTCTAACATGAGTTTTCTGGACAGTCCCACCTTTATCAGCCTCCTCTTCAACTCACAGATGGATTTGTCAGTTAAATAGAATATGTTATTTTACTGTAATACCCAGAAGGATACTGTTATTTCTATGAAACTGATATGGTGCTGAGGGCCTTCATTTGTGTCACCACGTGGTAAAGTTAGGAACAGAATAATCTGGCATGAAGCGAGCTGCCCATGTTACATCGCTGTCCTGCCTCCTTTCTATGGGAAAGTCAAATTTGACTGGCTAAGAGATGAGAAAGTTACACTAAAAACCTGTCTTTAATGTTAAACCATTCAGGTTGCAAGTTGTTCTCTGTAAGCAGAAACTGTTAAGTGGTTTCAGGTTACTTTTCAATCAGTATTAGGCAACATGGCTGCCAATGAAAGGGAGCCTCCCTACAGCAGCTCTGTCTGTCTTCATGTGGAATTATGTGAGACATTTACACCTGTGCCACTTTGACTAGCATCGCAGTAGCTTTACTGACATCCAGATAAACCCCAATGTTTCCTTTCCCTTCAGAAACTGCCTTGCCGTTTTTTTGTGCATTGACATTATGATAAACATGAATGGGCCATTTTAATTTTTAAATGGCTACCTCTTGTTAATCTCTCAAAGGTACTTGTGATGTTTTACTTCATGTCTGAGGTCACTACCCGGTCCAGCACGACTTAACCTTGTAGTAGCAAGATAAAAACTGACTCAGTAGCGTCTCTGAACACACATACTGGTAAGGCCCTCTTCATATCTGTCTGCTATTGTAGATAACGACTATGATAATGATGTCTGTGACCTGCAGATCAGGTCAGCCATTCCATGAGATCTTCTGTCCTGTAGTTGAGTCTGAATGCTGAAGTGATCCGCTGTATTTCAAGACTGTCTATAGAAAATAAGTATGTATGTAATTTCCCTGTTCCTGAAAATGACTGATATAAGAGAACCTGAAAAAAACCAATTCCCCTAATCATCCATTGTCCTGATTCTGATCATTATCCTGTGCATATTTGATTAAAATGTGTATATTGCATGATTAGGAATGTACACGTTTATTTCCTTTTTATTTCTGACATGCTTACAAAGAGAAACTTGTCATTCCAGTTTGTCCTTTTTCTTTATAGTTTTTTTTTTAAAGAAGTTTACTTGACCATTCTCTATTTTTGATGGTATTGTGTTTTTATCTACAAGTTCAGACAATTAAAAAGAAAAAAAAGTGATATCATTGAATGTTTTAAATTATTAAACACAGGGGAAGGAAGGGGGTTATAGTTGGTGTCATTACACTAAGGGCATGGGGCTCCCTATAATAAGTGGAATAGAACAGGTCATGTGAAGCAGTGTACTGAGAGGCAACCCACTCTGTCTTAATTTTCTGTTGGTTCAGTTGTAGTGAGTTATAATACCAAGTTTGGCTTGTGACATTGAAATATACTCTGGTATGACTCTGACTTTGGAAGGTCCTGTCTTTTTATTTCTCCATATTCCATTATCAAGCTGTACAATGTAAAATGTTTTAAAGGGTACAACATAAATTATCTACATTCCCTTTAAAGAAAGTCCACCCAAATAAAAAAAAATAAAGGCTTTAAGAAGCTTCTGTTGTACTTTTTGTGTTTTTGTGAACCACATATTTTTTAATCTACTGTTTGAACAGATTGCTCACATAATAATGTGTGTGTTGGTGTGATTACTTAGACATCTAGCTGCATTGCTTTAAACGTCAATTCCCAGAATGCCTTGCGTGTAAGCAGAAGTAATCGACCCCCATAATGACTGACAGCGAGCAGCTGAGTTTAGTAAAGTTCAGCTAACAAAGCTGAGAGTTTTCCTTTTTATAGATGTATGTAGAATTAGTTTATCTAACTTTAAATGTTGCTTAGACCACCTTTTTTTATGTGTAATAGAAACAACATTCAAACGAGGAACCGTGCTAGCTTTCGTTAGCATCACTAACAAGCTAACCAAACTGGGTTTCCTGTGTTTGCTTTCAAAATAAAAGCTTGTGAATTTAATATATTTTTGAGAATAGGTTCATTTTCAGGTGCAAGTAATTTGGCATCTTTCGCTAGGGGATGCCTTTTATCTAGACTAGAGCTTAGTTCCAACAGAACAGCAATTCATTTGAAACAAAAAAGAGAATACATACAATTGGGGTTTAGATATGTAGATAGACTGATGATAGATACTTTATTCTTCCCACATTGGGTTTGTGGGTGTTGTCAAGCATTACACACGAGTTACAATTTAACATCCAAGGTGAATTTCGGAGCTATATAAATGTGTTCCACGTGTTCCAACTTTTTATTGCTATTTTATTTCTACTTCAGAAATATGTTAGATTGTTTATTTCTTGTGTCTTAATTTCTCTTATGTACATTGCCTTGTTTATCCTGCTGCAACGCAAACATTTCCCAAATTGGGATCAATAAAGTACTTATCTATCTATCAACAATTTTTGTTCAACCAGATTAAAAAAAGGGCCTTATTTTGAAAGCTGTACCGGAAGTGCAACATGCATGGTATCTGACTTTAACAGCAGGTTCAGATGGACGTTAATAACTGGGGCTCCCCGGGACTGTTCACAACAACGGAGGAAGCCGCACGAGCTCTGACCAAATAAAGACCCGTTTTCAGATCCTGTTTTGGAACCAGACTAACGGAAACCAACGGAAACTCACGTTCTTTCTCCACTGATAGCCATTGTTTGTTCGTAGCTAGCTTTGTCCTTCTTCCCCGTCACAGCTGTGGTGGGTTGCTGATATATTTACACAGATCGTTGTAGGAATATGGCTCAGCATGGACACCATGTAGCCAGTTCCCAAAAAGCCCTGATGCTGGAGATGAAAAGTCTCCAAGATGAACCGGTCGAAGGGTTCAAAATAACTTTGGTGGACGAGTCGGACATGTACAACTGGGAAGTGGCGATATTCGGACCCCCGAACACACACTACGAGGGTGGTTATTTTAAGGTGAGTAGCTAATGTTAGCTAGCAGTCGGTCTATTGTTCTGTAGCTGGGAGATTTAGCCTGTGTTTAAGTAGTTTACTCATGGAGAAGAACCCAACGGTTAACATTGGCCTCCAAGTTACGTCTTCATACACAGCAGGTAACAGTTTAAAACGTTACATTAGATAATTGGCAGTTGTTCTTTATTACTCGGATAAAACAGGCTCTACTGCTTTGTTTAACTTTAAATACACTCTACTCAATCAGGATTATTACGTTTTCAAGCTTGAAAACATTAAAACTTTTCCCATGTGTCTTATGTATACTGAAAACTGGGATTGATTAAGGTCCTTTATTTTATCTAAAAGTTAGCCAATGTGGTAAGAAGATATTTTATTCAAGTTAAAGTAGAAATACCAAAGTGTAGGATTACTCTGTTATAAGTAAAAGTCCTGTATTCATTTTGTTACTCAAGTAAAAGTCCATATGCAGATTGCCTCATTTCCGAATCAAATACACCATATGCTTTGATTATAGTTATTGATGTTGTGTTTATCATAGATGGTAAAAGTGGAACTAGTTTTAATCACTTTATTTACTGCTCAGTAGCCTGTGAATTTAATCCAGGTGGAACTAAAGTCATATTTAAGTGATTATATATGCAAAGTAACTAAAGGTAGTGCAGTAAAAGTACATTATTCACCTATGTATTTTTGTGGTCTAGAAGTACAAAGTAGCATAGCAATGGAGTTACTCAAGAAAAGTACCCATACATTGTACTTATGTACAGTACTTGAGTAAATGTACTTAGTTGCATTACACAGCTGACTTTAAATAAACTCCACTCAACCAGGATTAACACCTTTTTAACCCTTAATACAAATATAACAACTTTTTTTATTTCACATGTCCTTTTTTATTTACTTAAACTATTACTTAATTGAGGTCATTTATTTATGGTTACAGTTAGTACATGTTCATATTTTATCTTGTTTTAATATGAAACACAAGATGGTTAGCATAGCCACCTCAAGCTTTAACGTTACTATGATAAGCTTTATCATCTCCCTCATTTAATCAGTTCCTTGGTGTTTTTACACAACATGTTATACTTTTAATATAAATCCAATCAATCCAAGATGTATGTCACTTTTGAAATGAAGAACCTACATCTAAGCTTATCTAAGTTATTACGGTAACTGAAAATACATTTAAATTGTTTTTCTTGCACTCTTCCTCCCTTGAGAGTGGAGATACAGATGTGTGTTCCTGTTTGTGAGTGTTATTGACGTAGAGGGTTGGCACTTTACAAAGCAGCTGCTGATTTGTGTGTTTTTAAATGTATTTTCAAGGCACCATGTCCGTGGCCCTTGACCTTATAAAAACGGGTTGTTTTCACGGTTTTGGTCCTTTGGAGTTACAGTACCTGGTTACCGACTCACTTTAAGTTTCAGTGGAAAACACACACCTACATTGTAAATATAGAAAAGCATATCATTTGTTGCCATAGCAGAGCTGTTGATTAGTCATAAACCTAATGAACATGTAAACATCAACGTCACACATTGCAAAACACTGAGTGGATTGTAGCTCTCCCGAGGCCTATGCTAATGTTGTTATTCATCCTTTAAAAGCAGTTTGATTTATTACTTCGTCTGGCGAATTCAAATAAATTCCTCTCACTGCTGCTTCAATTTTGTCCTACATTGTTGTTTTATTGGATATCAAACGTAGGATAATGAGTCTTTTTTTATTATTGAGGAAGCATAATGGTCTGTCTTTGTGATCTAACGACAATAATAATGTAGGTCAGGACCCAGAGAATACACTTAATTAGTCTTTGAGTTGCAATAACAACATACTCATATGGTACATGGTCTCTTTACAAGGGTTTTTGTTGTAGTCTCATAATGCTAAGCCCCGCATTAGCCATAGTTGTTTCCATATTACAGCTCAACTGTAATGTATCAGTGAAGGATCCCACTGTGTTCAGATTATCCAGCATATACATAACTGCTCTGTGTAAACCGTCACTACAGCCGTATAGTGTTTTTGGTTTTCCAGTTCTTGAGAAGCTTATTCATTTTGCCTCTGGTGTTTTTGGGGCCTGTGAATACAAGCAGAGGGCCAGGCGACCGTAGATGGAGCTCAGTGTATCCGTGTGGGTGCTGCTGTGTACAGGATTCCTTTGTCGGCCAGGAATGCACAGCCTGGCTGTGAAATCCACCGCATGGTTGTGACTCATTGTTCTCTGCTGGGTTTCCATCCAACCAGTTTGCCTTATTCCCACAAAAAAGAAAGAGAATCCCACCCTGTTCTGATTCAGGTTACCCAAACAGCCCTGACCTGCTGCAGCCGCCAGTTCACCTGAAACACGGCGGCTGAACGACGTCATATACGAAAACCTGGCTGAGTCAGGTGTTCTTTTTTCGTGGGTGGTGCTCTCAAAGAGTCACACCATCACAAATATATCAGAACTGCAGAAATATTGCAGTATCATTCAAAGAACATTAGATAACTGTCCTTGATCTACAATAAGCAGGTCGTGTTTATATGGTAACCCTGAAATTGTAAAATTCTTGTGAACTGGTTATGGTGTGTGTAGATACGACATCTATTGTACGTATGTCTGTATTGGAGAGTGACCCCTCCGTATTAATTATTGTGGAGTTTCGAGGTTTAACAGTCTGTAAAGCACTCTCTGACAAATGTGTAATTTCTTATATTGGTCTATATAAATGAAATTGGATTGACCTCAAATGTGATGAGTTCTGATAGGATATTGCCTAGATCAGGGGTGTCCAAACTTTTTTCTCCGAGGGCCACATACAGGAAAAATATACGAAGGGCTGGGCCACTCACAAGAGGTATATTACCTCATAAGTTCAGTTATAAGTTGGCAAAATCAATCAAATGTAGGTAAATGATGCTTGTGAGTGTTGGAAGCTCATCCCCTAAAACAAAAGCTTCAGATTGATTATAATAAGGGGAAATATGATGGGTGTATTTCAAGGTTGTTATGTAAATAAGTTGTTGAACTTTTTTCTTATCAACTAAGATATTTTGGAACATGTTTCCAACTTGAATTGACTGAATTTATTTGAAGTGGTCTTATTAACACATGAATACTACTGTGTAATGTATTTTAACATTTATAGTTAAGAAGTACAATATAAGACAAGCACAAGTTTCATTTGTGGGCCATATTCCATTATATTTTTGAATTCAAAATGGCCCCCGGGCCGTAGTTTGGACACCCCTGGCCTAGATGGTAACCCTGCTAAATTTTAAAAGGTTATTCAATGATTAAGGTTAGGACAGGTTGTGCATCAGCAAATCTCACGAGAGTTTTGGCAATTGTTTGTTACCATCAGATTCAAAGTAATTTTCCGACTTCAGTGTGTTCATGAGCAAGTGGTTGTATGAAAACAACATTGAAGATGTGTTGAATGTATTTATTAAGAGGGATTTAACACCACATTGATAGCCGAGGCGTACATTTTTCAAGCTGGGATTTATTTTTGGGACAACATTCCGACACCACGTGAATGCGGTACAATTACCAATTTCTCAATGCTAACGGAAGAGAACAACAGTTGTCTATCTGCCACGTGATTTGGGTCCGCTCCAAAATGTTGGTTCTTTCTTGGCCCGTGTTACACCCTTTCACCAAGTTTTATGAAATCAGGCCAGCAGTTTTACAGGCAAACTGAGCCAAGATAATACATTTATCATTGACATGTTGGTCTCACAGGAGCTGATACTGACTAGGGTTGTAACAGTGTGGTGTAAAGTGTGGTGGTTATCATACCATGTGCATTTGGTTATCTACTATATTTAAAAAAAGAAGATGACATAAGTGTGAGTTAAAGGTACAGACAGGAGTCCCATTAAATAACATGCTCTAGTTCTGCTTTTTTGTTCAATATTACAATTCGGTTGTCATTCCTTTTAGGGATCATTGTAATTGATGACAATAATAGTGTAAAGCTCTAGGTTTTTCTTAGATGGTTGTTCTGCTGTGACAATCTCACACCGTTACCCCCACTAATACTGGCATTCATTAATTGTGTCTGAGACCTTTCCAAGCTGAAGGTCCTTTGTGTGTGTGTCATGTGAAGTATCCCTTCAGGCTCAGAGTGTGTGAGGATTCCTGGCAGAAGGCCCGTCTGTCCCGCCGCCAGCAGTGGTCCTGGGACACGTTTGAAGCAGATTGACTGTGTTGTTTTCACCCAGAGTTCGGATTTACAGGAGTGTTCTCACACTGACTCGCTGTGTGTTGTTGTTGTTGTTATTGTACATGTTTAGTTTGATTGCCCAGACGATACCATAACTATGAGGTTTTATTTGCTTTTGTAGTTTAATAGTTAATCTGGAGTTTAAATATCTACTTTAACTGGTCATTATTATGGCTGCAATTAACAATTATATTATTTATTGTTTTTTCTGCTGATTATTCTCTGTTTTCCTGCTGAGTTTACTGTCGGGCAGCAGGAAAACAGAGAGATGTACAGTGCTTTCAGTGTTTCCCCTAGGATGGAGTCATTGCAGCGGTGCTAAGGCACAGCAAAATGTGAGCACGGAGCGCGTGGAATTTTTCTGTGCGTGCGAATTGCGCCCCGCCAATATGTTTCTATGTGTCTGCCAGCACAAGAAAGGCTCTTGAGGCCTAGTACATACAGTGGCAATGTCTCAAGATTTAGCTAAATACACCTTTATTGAACATACAGTAACACAAATACTACAAATACACATAACAAACAATCAAAAAGGGTAGCCACTTATTATTATTTTAATTAAAAAATAATGTTTTAATATATAGCTGCCGCTATTTGTATATAGAGGAAACACTGGCTTTATATCCAGATATTTAAGGTCACAATGAGATGCAACAGAAACAACTGTACTACTGTGGAAGAGCTTGGGGTCTGTGAAAATAAATGTGTGACCCTGTTTGAAGTACTGCTGTGTCAGCACCTGGCAGCTTTAATTATGCTTTTTGTTGCATTGTGACGTAAACGGG